GATCACGTATTTCATCATAAGAATTAATAACAAATGATTCTGGCGTGAAATCTCCGTGAAAACCGTGTGTCACTTTCATCTAGTATATTCCAAAACGTTTCCTTCACGCTCCGAAAAATATCGCAACGAATCAACACGAGAACTCTTCTGTCGGCACAATCATTCGATCTACACCTGAAAATATTGATTTTCTTCGAGAACTCAGTCGATCAAAGAAACTACTATTTCATAACATTAACCCACTGACGACCATAAGTTTACCAGACCAACATCACATGACTCGTTTTGACACTACTATTTGAAATATTCATTTTTTCTCAGTTGCACAAGTTGCTTAACAGAAATTGATTAGATTAAAATTTCTTATTGAAACTTCTAGGTTAATCGTTTCGATAAAACTGAAACATCGATCTTTTTCATCCGACAGAATAGTTCCAAATAACAAACTGTTCGAAACCATCGTTTCACAAAGAAACAATCCTTGCTGTGTTAATGCAATCTTAGAGCACACAAGCTTTCGATATTCCCGGAAATTCAAACGTTTCAAGTTCAATCATTTCGAAATCGGCGGCGAACGAATTAGTCTTCAACGATTTTTGTGTGACCAGTGACGCAAGCAATGACGCAAGAATTGTTGCAAACGCGGCCGGTGTGTTTGTCAAACAGTCGGCCCGAGATAATGCAGAATTCCCATCGCGGAGAAACGGTATTATCTTTCAGCGACGCCCACGGGTACCGATCGGGCCGGCGGGAATCGCGGATCGATGTTTTGTATTTCAAAATCGAGACTGTCACGAAGTTATGCTAAACGTGGGATGTAGGTCGCGAACGTGATTCCCCTCCCCGTTTTTACGCGACCTCGACGTACGATAAATCAGCTGCTACCGCGGACAGATTGAAAAATAAAAGCGTTCTTTCGAAAACATTCACCGTCGAATCGAATACAAAATAGTGTTCACTCGAGGAAAGTAAAGAAACCGTTCTTGAATGACTTTGGCATTTTTTTACATCGTTACAATTTAAATAAACACAGAAGAACGATCTATAGTTACATCGTGATCGGTATTTCGGCGACTTGGACGTTGATCGATGAATAAATTTGCATAGAAACTCGGGAATAATCGTTAAACTGTTTAATACGAAGATTCTACGACGGACATTTTTATGGTTATATTCGTAACTTGGGAATTTTTAACGATTAAATAGTTACTTATCACTATTAATATTTTCGTATACTGTTGTCGAAGTAATATTAACATAAATTATGTTTTTTCAGCGATTCGTTACTGAATAGTTAATTTTTTATACGTAAAATCCTGTGTTAAATCAACCTTTTCGTCATAGTTAGTGAAATGTACGTGTATGGTGATTACTCGAACATAAAAATGATGAAAGATCGGGCAAAGTCTTGATCGAATCCATTAGAAGGGACTTTCAATTGAACGATCTTTCACCCGGCATTTTGTATGTTCGTGGTTTCATGACTGGCGGATCAAAAAAAAAGACAAAAAAATCCCGGTGACTCGTTTGGCTCTGTCAGCTGTGAGCAAAGTGGGTCCAATTGAAATTCCTGTCGCGAGGTAAACGCGCATATAATTACGTGCCCACGGAGGAAACTGGGGGAATCGCAACGCGCGTTTCGCGCACGTGAATAAAACTTTTTCGAGAGAATCTCATCGTGAAACGAAAACTCTTGCCAGAAACGCGAAGAAAAAGTTCTCCAAATACATTCTGTTTAAATCAATAAGGAGAACGTAGACTTGCAAAGCTAATATTCATCCGTTATAAAAAAAAACACACGTTCCCAATTTATAAAAGCAAAGATATCATCTAGAACGATTTCTTTTTACGCATTCTACACCACAGATGGACAAATTTATCTATTTAGGTAAAGAATTCCGTATAACGAATAAAAGAGAAAAAGTAACATCAGAAAAGGTGCCGCCTGAAACTATTTAACTTTTGTCTAAAACATTTTTTAATATTACCAATAATTTCATAGATATTCGAGTTGGTCGATTCAAACGGTAACACCCTGTACATAATCGTAATCGATCGCAGACATATTATATGCTACAATAATTCCACAAATTATTCCCAAGCACTTTTTATCGAAAATAAATACAAATTCGTAGATGACAAATAAATACAAACCAGTATATAATCAATTCATCTTCCTCCAGGTGTAATAACACAAACGCAACGACGTAACGACCCACGAAATCGATAACCAAATTCTGTCCAGATAATAAAGCTTATTCGATATAGATTAAAAAAAGAAAATATATTCCCAGTCACGGCCTCTGTTCGTGCGTGGGCCCGGTGTCGACCTCGGAAAAACGGCATCTTTTTCAGCGGCCGATAGTGCCACTCCAAACGTCGCATAGTTATCTCTGTAAACCGGCGCGACCTTATCAGTCTTGCCAGGTATATTATGTCGACGGGTGAGCCGTGAGCCTGGCGTGCGACGCAAAACACACCTGCATTCCACGGTTCCGCTTTTTGAATCGGTCCCGCCACCGCCGCACACGGAGTCGCTCTTCTCCCGTCCCATCCTCGAGAAGCCACTTTTTCTCCCGATGGGGTGTCCTTTCCTTTCCTTCCCTCCCTTTCTTCGTGTCCCCAGGTATATACTACCGTGAAATTTTCATCCGGTGTTCGAGTGACCGACGTTCAGCGTCCTGAACGTTTAGACAATCTCGAGGACCTAACTGCAATGCTCAGAAGAATTTAGAGAATCATGTATTGCGATTGATCTGCTCGTCAATAGGACGTGTAATCCTGGGAGAGTTTTTTTTACGCAAATGTAACTAGAATAAATGTCTCAATTATTGCTAGTGCCCCTAATACTGCCACTTTATTTATTTTACTTAATAAAAACGTAACGTGTAACGAATTGGGTGCAAAAAATATAGTATATATATGAGACTCTGATTTGCATAAAAACAAACATATATTTGTACTTGTTTGTACCTGGTATTTAAGAATTAATGTTGCAAAATGAAAGTGGAATTTGAGCATCCAAAACGTGACTATACAATTAGTAGGTAGCGATGGCGATAATAATTTACTATTTCTTAGTAAGCACATATAGTTATATGGCAAAATTATCTCAGAGAAAGAATCGTAATTTTACGTTGTTTAAGTATTATATACATACATATAAGAATTGCTTTTGGTGACAGTTATATTAATTATCAATTAATTCTTCATCTTTAATTTATTTTTTGTAATTAATTGTAATTTCTAAGTCTAACGATCTACCAAGGATCCACGCGACGTTTTTTTTTTTTTTTTCGTAATCATTTCGTGAAACTGAAACGGGAAGGGTTAAGGGGCAACGCTCCGTATCCCGGCAACTGGAAAGGCTGTCGAGGGAACAGGTTTATATCTGCTTCGCGCTAGAAGGCGAGCGAAGATAAACGAAAGGATCGAAGCGAAAGTGAGCCGCCGTGGACTTCAGTTTCTGGCGAACCGTTCGAAGGATCTGCACATGGTTGCAACGGAACACGAAAAGATTCACGAGACTGCGTCGACTGGCAAAAGATTAAAAAGCGAGGAACCCTCTTCGATCCGTTTTGTGGTCGGTGAACAACGGATAATCGACGTCGAAGATCCGTGGGCGGTTCGTTTGGATCGTACCCAGGGGGGTATCGCGAACGATTCCGGGACCAGTTGTGAACGCGCGTGGTCGTTTCGCCTGCACCTGTGCGAGATCGCGTTCGGTACGAGCTCACGGAATTCCAATGGATGATATATGCGTGTGTATTGTGTTCGTCGCGTGGTATTTGTTTTCCTGTGCACGCGAGCTCGCTCGTGAACGGAACGTAAAATGGCACTTTTGCTTGTGACGTACTTGCGACATAAATAGAAAATCATCTGGTGAATTTTACAGTGATTCTTAATTAAAAAAAAAAATAATTATTGTAAATTGCTAGAGATTTAGGGTACGTTTATTGTTGGATGTGCGATCAGAGCGAAGAGAAAGAAATATTTTTCTTTGATCGTTCATCGTACATAGCGTTGGTTAAACACTTCCATTATAAAACGATAGATTGTATTTCTACTGCTGTGATAAACGTATCCTAAATGCATAGCAATTTACAATATATGAAAATATAGATGATGTACGTGATTTTGCGTGATTGAGAAGGAGCTCGAGGTAGTTAAATGGAACGATGAAAGTGAATGTTTGTTCGTTTATTATAGACTGTTCAGTGTACACGGTGTAGATAGACTAAATTGGCGTGTAAACGAACAGGTAAACGGGGGACCGTGAGGTTGCACGTAAGGGAAATGAAAGGATTGCAAGGAAGATATTACCACAGACTGTTTGATTCTGTTGAAAAACAGAAAAGTATCCTCGATCGGTGGAGTTAAATCGCGAATGTATCTCTGAAAATGCGAACATAAAAAAAGGAAAACATGTACACAGAGTATGAGTATTCACCTGAATAAACCATTCAGGGAACGGTACAATGTCCTGAAGTGGAAGAATGTCTCTTTCACTTCGAACAAGAACTCCTTTCTGCTGGTTGACCTTCTGCTGAATACCGTTTTACAAATCGTTACAAGAAGACACATACACTTGCGTTACAGAAAAAGTATCATTTATACCGCGAGAAGGATTTCTACATCAACGAAACCAAAATATATTCAGAAATTCTTGATTGATCAAAAGATTTCCAAGAAGCAGAGTATCCACTGGAAAGAAGGCTTCTCGATGATCCATGGATCGTGATCGACGAAACATATGCTCGAAAAGAAGGTGATCCGCGAACGAAACACGATCCAGCGATCGTTGGACGACTAGAAGGGAGCTGCCACGGGGAGAAGGGGACCAAGCTCAGATAAAAGGCATTAACTGCACCGGTCGTTCGTGTATTTACCGGCTTCGATAAACGTTTCGCGGGATGGCGGTGGGGGCACAGTGGTATCCAGTCTCGATACCAAATAGCAGCGGGTTAAACGGCACCAATCGATCGTTGTCGTCGCGACGATTCGCGGAAGAGACGCACTGGTGAACGGTGGTACATCGATCGAAACAATTAAAAATCACGCGTGTGCTCCGTGACGCATAGCATCGCGTTGACACGATTTAACCCCCGGGTAACACCGAGTGCCCCGCCGGGATTGAAATGATCGAGGGCGAGAAGGATCGCGGGCAGAAGAGTAGCGGCATGCGTGAGTATCGTGGATCCAGAGGGATTCAGCTGTGAAACGTATCTAGTGACGAGAAAATAGAATTAAAAAATTTCTAGGTTTCTTGTGAATTGTAGAGGGATGTTGTTTATTGTTTTCTTCTCGTTGATCTTTTGGGATATTAATTTGGCGTTGAGCAAGGTGTTTATAAGTTGGTTAACTCGATTTCAAGGGGATCTATTTTATTGGAATGTGTTAACTGTGAATACATAGTGTTCACAAATTCGAAGCAAAGTTTCAGTCATTAATCCTTTCGTTCCCACTGTAACCATATGATTGCATCTTATAAAAGATTATGTGAGTATATAATACCATCTACAAGTTTTGTATAGATGGCATGATATGTGTAGATTTCGAATATGTATTTAAAACGTTTATCAGTGTAATATGACTATTAGTGCCCTTTGGTTCATTCCTTTATTGTATGTAGTTCTCGGGGCCGATAACAATGATTAAAAAGTACTCTATTTTCATCGAAACAACGCTCGAATATGTACAATTTTCTTATAAAGGAACCATGACGTTCGAATAATTTTAAATAATCAAATTGACGCTTGAATGTAGTTCTTTTTTCACGTTTTAAATCGTTATATTTACGTGCACGTTCGTGGCACGTACAGCACACGGAGGACGGATTTCGAATTGGAAAAATAATAGTTGGTTGGTTATTCCTCAGGCATAACATGGAGCTTCCGGTTTCCGTCTATGGGCACCCTGCAAAATTTAGGCGCCAGCGGCCGTCGTCGAAAGAGAAACGGCATGTCCTCCTCAGCCTCTTGTAAGGATCTCCATCAGAAGCGACACACGATCCATCTACAACAGGAAATAATTATTCAGAAGGAGCCCTCCCTCATCGTGACGCCGCTGTCACCGGAAGATCCGAGCGACGAGAGCCGGAGGTATGTACAATAATATACATACATATGTACAACCGCAGAACACGGTTTACTCGACCACGAACAAATCCATTCGACACGTGGACGTAATTTAATTCCTGTGTCTGTTGCGAATCGTCATCTATTTCCTAATCTACAAGCCTATAATCTCCAAAATTTATGCATACTTCTTCCACAGTATAAAATTTGCAGATTTAGAAAACATAAATAGAAACAAAATTTTCAATCCTTATGTATTTTGGGTAAAATAAAAACGAACCACTTTTTTTTCTAGGGAATCCCAATCTATCCTTTTCTGGAGAAACATTATTAATTTCTCAACGCAATTTCAGACATGGCATAGTTGGTTCGTCTTTATTTTGACCAGGATACATAAGAATTGAAAATTTCAGAGTGGTTGTACACTTATGTCACGCGGTTTATATATTTAGAGAAACATGTTGACCCAGCAAAAAATCCATTTTTTTCATAAATCGTCACCTACTATACTAATCTACAATTTCTAAAACCTTTGTATACCTCTTCGAAAGTATCACATTCGGAAACCGTGTTGACACATCTAAAAATCCGTTTTTGTCGTAAATTGGCATCTTCTTAATCTACTTCTTAATCTACCAAATCTATATACACTTCTTGCAAAGTATCAAACTTGCAGATCTAGAAAAACTTCATTTAGAAAAATGCGTTGACTAAAAATCCATACTTCTAGGCTCATACCATCAGAAACCCATAAACTTAAGAGGCATAAGCCAAGTAAACCATCGGTTTCTCGCCACTTCAGGAGCCCCTGAGTCACAAAGAGTCCAGAATTCTCGAGATATCGATCGACAACACATTTCCTGTAAACCCACATGCAATCCACACGATCGTGAAGAGAAATGGAGAGGAAAGCGGAACGTAGACCTTCGAAAGACTTTTCCTTCGAAGTCGAGATTCTCTCTCTCTCTTGTTACTTTATGAATTGGCCTGAGTCGGTCGGTATACCCGACACGGGAACATAATAGAGCGGACAGGTCCCTAACCGGTTTTCCTCGATCCTTCGCCTTCGATGCGTGTGTGACGGTCTTCACAGCCTGAGACCGCTGGGAATCCCCATGACCGTACGAAAACGATAATAGGGGAAACTATGAAACTCTTGTATACCTGTTCCGTAATCCCATTCAGAATCTGTGTCGGACACTTTGAACCGACCCTTGTCTCGTTCGCTGTTCCTGGTTGGGACTTATCTTTTAGCTTAAGATACAGAATAACAAGGTTCAATTTAATTCTCACGTTTCGGGCGATCGATTGGAATCTAATGAAATTGGATGCTTGTGTGGCAAAAGGTATATAACCGGGTACGAGGGTCAAAAGTTCCCCTTAGATTGAATTGGACGTTTGTTGGACCATTGGTATCGCTTGCCAAGAAAAAACTATTTGTACCAATTTTCACCCCCTCTGTCCTGGATCAGGAGGGTTATAAAAGGAAACATCCAGATTGTAGATTTTTTTCTCCGTTTTCCCTATTTAATGACATGCTAAAATTCTTGGAGTAATCGAAAATATTTCATTCGAGATGTCAGGCATTTGTGGTGTAACATGTAACATTTATCGTAATGTTTTACAGGAGACATTTGTCCATGTAAACATTGATAGCAAAAGAAAACGTGCAGCTGCACGTTCTGCAATTCTGTGTAAGTAATCTTATCGCCCCAACACTCTCTGATTCTGCAAGGACAGCGCTATCCTTGATTCGAGGCTGTAATTCCAGGAATAATCGATCGTTCTGTAAATAAAATTATCGCGGATAATTTTTGGTAAACTCTTCCCCTGAACGATTCTTACATTTCGAAATATTTCACGGCGATTACGCGCTCCAAGTAGGAAAGAGGAATTGATCAAGATTCGGGAATTTAATCGTACAGCGATTACAGACTCGATTATCGTATCGATTGATCGGATTCGAAAACAATTCGTTCTCTGGATAACAAGATCTTCCTTGTCGACAGACTAGTGCCTGTAATTATGAAAGTGGTATAAGTCATGTATATTTCAGTTTCGAAAATTCTTTCATGATATTGAAATAGAAATAGATCTAACCTAGAATAAGACAAAACCTCTTTTTTATTAATTTTTGAAAAGTAATGAGCATTATTTTATTCTAACATTCTCTTTCATGCAGTATAATGATCCCAAGCAAGGTTAAATCTAATTCTAAAAATTGAGAAATGAATATTCAAGGATCAATTGAATATAACGATAAGGGGAAAGGAACACTCATTCGTGATGGTTTCAATGTTTCACAGACTCCCCCGTTCGTCGAATTCTAGGGAGATTTTATCTACGAGTAGCGATTAGGGTTGCTTCGGGCGCGTAGCCTGTTGATGCGAACGCAGGCTGCAATCGCTGCAAAAGTCTGCACGCGAGATCCTGTCGCTACATCAGAACTCGAACGAAGATAAGGCACGCGGTGCACTTCTGCGAACGCCACATTATCTGCTCGCAACTAACTATTCTCCTTTTGCTATTTATAACACCGTGTCTCAGCTCCCTGAAAACCATTTCTTCGTACACCACCCTGACGAAGCTGCAATTTGCAACGTCCTGGCATTCCAAATAAAAAGCATCCCTTATGAGTACAAAAGTGTTTCAATTTGGGTAACAATAGCGGTCAGACCATTTTGAAATTGAAGTGCATAACTGTGAGAATTGGTCGAAGATGGTCTTCTTTTGAAACGCCCTGTATGTTGTGTATACATATAGGGTAAGTCATATAAATTGTCCACTCCGAGTAACTTCTGAACTTTAGAATAAGCTAATTGTTCACGAAATACCAAGGTGATCTTGAATTATTTAAATGGAGTGCATACTATTTTTGTATCGAAATTGGAAAGTTAGGAAATCTAAAGTTTACTTCTAACTTATAAATTTCGATACAAAAAGGTACGTATCCCGTTTAAAAAATTCAAGGTCACCTTGATATTTCGTAAATAATTAGGTTATTTTAATACCGTAAAAGTTCTATATGAAACGTATTTTCATAGAACAAATACTTTAGAAGTTATTCGGGGTGGACAGGTTATGTAACTCACTCTGAATAGGATGGTACTTTCTTCTATAACAATCAATTGATCATTAATCTGTCTTTTTAACAAACAGTACTAATTTTCCTTCAACTTTATTCGCAAAGAACCGATCCACGACAGACCACGGATTAGTGTGCTTTCTCCAGACCGCGAGCAATCGCTAATCCAAGGGAATTCCCTAGACATCAATTAACTGGACAATGACACCGTACCGGTCACAATGAACCGCGACTCAAGGTTCATTTTCTATTCTTCGTTCTTCCGGTTCCACGAACAACAGGAGCACGATAAGTGCACAGATGCGTTTTATGGGTTCCAGGACCCTTATCGAACGCTTTTGTCCGACGCAGGCGCGTCGACCACCCTTCTGTGCGGTCCCCCTTCTCAAACAGATCAATAAACCCCCGCCCCCTTCCACCCCCTGTTGGTATCGACTGAACCTAACACCGACTGATAAGAATCCTGGCTAGGGCCGGCTGGCCAGCCGTCGAGAAAAATCGGGATAATCTTTTTCGCCCGGCGCTGCTCTCTGTTCGAATGGCCGGTGTCAACTCCCGACGCTGAAAGCCACTCGAGAACGGAGAAAACGCAGGCGTGGGTGAGAACGCGACGGGCGCGTCGCAGTGGCGTATATAACGAAGCGCATCCGAGGTTCGAATCATTTTCACGTGTACCTTCTTAGGAGAAAAATTCATTTTTGGAGAGAAATCTGTGTTAAGGATTCTACTGGACACTGAAAATCACTGTAGATTTTCCTTCTTTTCCTCCGTGAATCTCTTGATTTTAATGACTAAAGGGAATATATATTTTTTTGTTATTGTTTCATTAATCTTGGTTATCAAGGTAATAATGATACGGGGTAATTAGTGAAAGAGGTTTATGTAGATTTTATGTTCATCTGGGAGTCTTCAGATTCTGAACTCTGTTGCCAATCATGTCTATGGAACAAAAGACTATTATTTCCCATTCAATGGGGAGACAATAGAAAGCTTGAATACGATCCCAACGATGCGTGGAAGAAAATATTTAACGCGAGCGCAGCGGCTCGTTACTGCAACCTTGCATTCAGTCCTTTGGAACAGAGGGGTTGAAATCTATCAGTTCACATGTATCTTTTTGGTAAAAAATTTAATGAAATATTACAAAGAATCACATGTTTTCAGTATGGTTCACTTTGGGGAAGCAAATTTTTAACCCCATTGCACCCTTATGGCGAGTCTCCCTCACCATCCTATTCCTTCCATTAACTCGAATAAAAAAGTTATTTTCAATTTGAGTATACATCACATTTTTCTATATTTTCTTTCAAAATATTCCGGAGTAGCTGGTTCCCCATGGGAAAAAGCTTAAAGTGCAAAGGTTTAATTGTCAGATTAAAATTTCCACTAGAGTAATATACAACGATTCAAAGTCACTTATTATTAAACAATTTAATTCCCTCCCATGAATAACAAATACTTCCGCCACCTCGAATCACAGATTCATTTACAGAATAGAAGTTTACCTCCCCCTTATAGAATAAAAACGTTCATTTCAACAACCACAAATAATATTCAATCTTAACAACACACGTCCATTAAAATTCTCATATTCCATAATATTCTAACCTCTATGCACGAATAGGTCCACCTTTAATAAATCCCCGTTCGAAATTCAATCGGGAACAAAGAGAAGATGCTCCGTCTGTAATTAGAAAATCGTCCAACCACGTCTGAAAGGAAATTGTTTTCGTTGGCACCGAATCGGTGGGTCCCCCCCCCCAACGGTTCTATTAATACCCCCCGCAGGCGCGCACGCCCCCCCTGAGGGGTTCCTCCAAAAATACGGCCCTGTCCGCGTCGTGGGTCTCCACGCGCATAGTTCAGTGGGGTGCGCGCGCTCGGCCCGAGAGCCGTGGTGTGGCCAAACCCTATCTCCAGTCCCCCGTGGTCTCTGATGTGTCCGAGGAGACGATTCGTGTGGTTAACGTGGAAAAACGGTTCTCCTCCCGGATCGAGTGGTCTGGATTTGTGGGACGAGATGCGAACGAACCGCGAATGAAAAATCGCTTTCACGACGCAGGTCGTTCGAGGTGAGAGCCGAGGAAGAGGAGGAGGAGGAAAAGGCGGCGGCGGTGGCCAGAAGGGAGGAACACGACGAGGACTCGGGAGAGTCTCGGAGAAGGGTTGAAAGCTACGACGACTACTCGAATTTACCGATGGTAAGTTCGTTTTTAATCACCTAACGAGTTTTCTTTGTTAACTGGCCTTGTTCAGATTTTCTTCGAGGTTGATTTAGAATTTTTTTCGCAAGTTTTTCTGGGGTGTCTTCGACGACACCCTTTTTGGGGTGGGATAGTTGTAGCATTGCTTGGAATGAATTGTATTGAAGGATCTGAATTTCTTGAATCGTGGATTTGATTTGCGTTGAAGCTGATGGTTGTGATGATATTATGGATGATGGTCTGTCGATGATATTGTATGAGGATAGAAATAATCTTAGGGGATGAATTGTAGTTTCTGGTATTTTGGAGTTCTTTGATGCTGAAGATTTTGTTGAATATCGTATTGAATCATTAGAAGCTGTAGAATTTCGTAATATCTGATGGGATCGTGGTATTAATGGGGATCGTTAGTGGTACCATCAATCGAATGGTTCAGTGTGATCGTAATTGGAATCTTCTATACGCCGGTTTCACGCGTGAAAAATCGCGCGCTGACAGACGTGCCGATGATCTCCCCGCGCAAGTAGACCACTCAAGGCTGTTTTTATTAAGCCAATTCCGTGGCCTCGCGGAGTCGAGACACATCTCTCCATTGATCCGCGCAACTGTCGCCGAGTCGTACGAAACAATCGCAGAACGTTCAATTACAATCGTGCCTTGTGATGATTGAGATATCAATTAACGTTACATTTGCTACAGGCTGAAAAATTCATTTAACAAAGGTAGAATATTAATTGAAAGTAGAAAACGCCTTCAATCAACTGACAGAAGGAATAATTCATCTAAAAAGGACAGTTTTTGCATTTCGAATCGGGGATCTATTGCTGAAATTGTCAATAAATCACGCTTCAAGACAGCTTCTTTAACACTAGAAATACACGCATATTTCCTTCGATCGGTGGATAAACGTGAAAAACTTTTGAAAATTTATAAATTGACTAATTTCTTCACTTTCATATCGTAATAACAGGTGCAATCGTTGTAAGAGTGTATTGACCAGTCAGTTTGACTGGTTCGGTGTTAATAGTAATTTCTAGCGATGCATCGTAGTCCCCTAATTTAAGATTCCCGTTCTCGGACGTCTAATTTAGGAGCCACCGGAAGAGTCGACGCGCAAGCTTTTGGAGCGGGAACTACGACTTCTGGATCCCAGGGATCTGAGATCGCACGCTTGGTACCACGGCAGCACGCTTCGGGGCGGCAGGAAGGGCGCTGAAACGGAAGTGCCGAACGACGGTGACTTTTTGGTGCGTGACTGTGCCTCCCAGCCCGGAAACTATGTCCTGACGGTCCGATGGAAGGGTCAGCCTCTTCATTTCGTCATCAACAGAGTGCGTAATATCCCACATTCCAGATTTGTTCCATAAAGAATCAATAGGAAAAGGGTTAAACGACTCATAGATGATGCAGACGACCACAGACAGTCTCAAAGACAGATCGACAGATTTTTAACACATCGTACTGCCACACAACTGCCCCACAAATGTTGCAGTCTTTCAAACGGTCGAAGCAACTTATATATTATACAATTAATTTTACGATAAATCGTATCATCTATGAGCCATTCTACAGCTACCTCAGGTTCTTAACCCTTTCGATGTTTATATCCAGTATACTCGTCATGAAAAGATGGCATTTTTTTTGTTCAATGACGAATATACTCGTCAATAAACGAAAAAAAAATTTGCATTTGCTGTTTAAAGTAAAATTCAGGTAAAACAAAAAGCATGCTCGTGATTTCAACAGATTTTAGAATATTTCTGGACGAAACGAAGAAAAAATATGCAACAGTATGAGGCAGTAACTTTTTTGCAAGAGTAATTTTATGATTTCATTATAATTTATTTCAACTTTGCAGCAAATGCATTTACTCTGCAGTTGTCGAGTATACTCGTCGTGGCTGAACAATACTTAATCGCACAAGTGCACGTTCACCAAATGGAATAAATCACTTAACGGATTAATTACCATGTGACCGACGGAAACATCCAACAGGTCGTCATCCAACCAGAAACAGTGTACGAGAGGGCGCAGTACCAGTTCGAGGACGAGGCGTTCGACACGGTCGCCGATCTGATAACCTTCTACGTCGGTAGCGGTAGACCGATCAGCCAAGCAAGCGGTGCTCGGATAATCACCCCTAAGCCAAGATCTGTCCCACTGACCTGCGTGGCAGCGCCGACGAACAGTCAGCACTGTTCCAGTCCCTCCTCCTCGTCCCTATCAACCGGCTCCCCGCCCCGTCTGCCTAGAAAACAACAACGAAGTCATTCGTTGACCGCTCAGCATCATCCCACGGATCAGCACGATGTTCGTCAAACCGTTTCCTCGAATCAACAGGCACCAATTCACAGCCAGGTGCAATCGAGCACTCTCCCACGAGTACCACCTGTTCAGAATCAACCGCCATCCTGTTCCTTGTCGTTGGGTCGTCAGAAGATCACCAGGGTAATTTCGGACCCGGCGCTCCAGCAGCAACAGCAACCAGTGATCCAGCAGTCGAGCTTAAATCACCATCAGAATTCTCATAACGCAGCTCCTCCGAAGCCGCCCAGAGTGCCCTATGTACCGAACCACCAGCACCACGGTCATCATCATCATCCGCATCACCATCATCATCATCAAGGCTACCAGGCGTCCGGTAGCGATAGTGGTAACGGGTCTGGGGACAGTGAGTTCGAGGCGAACAATTCTGGAGGGACCAGTAACCCTTCATCCTCGGCTCCTATCAAAGGTGTGGTGATCAGAAGCCATTACACGATCAGCAACGACGGTACTAATGGTAACAACGGAAACGAGTACGAGTTATCCGCGGAGGAACAGCTGGTGGTCGCAGCGCCCTCTCTGGAGATCACCACGTCACTGGACATCGAGGGATTCTCGACACTCCTATTACCAGCTGGGGATCACAGACCTTTGGACCCAACTGCTTTGAGGGGAGTCTCTGGGATGCTTCACGATTCTGCCCCAAGGGTACTGGCTTCACATTTGACCAAAATCGATCTGGAACTGGCTCTTCAACCTGGCGCTGGGAACAGGAATGGATTGAGTGGTATAGAACTTGCTACCCTGCCACATGGCAGACAGGCCAGGATGGATCTGATCGAAAGGTCAGAGTGTTTGAAACTGCTAGTCGCCGTGACGGTGCTAGCTGGGGCTACAGCTATCGAAAGAGCAGCGACCATCAGCAAGTGGATCAAAGTGGCGATCGACACCAAAACTGCGCTGGGGAATTTGTATGGGTTCTGTGGCGTGATGCTAGGACTCTGTTTACCACAGATCCAGAGACTGGCGAACACGTGGCATTTGTTGAGGCAGAAACACACGGACGAAGCGTTCAGCTTCGAGGCGAAACTAAGGCCCACTCTGCGAGCCATGAACGAGTGCACGAATCCCCAAGCCCCGAACACCACGCTGCCACATTTGCTGCCTATCGCGCTGTTGGGCGAACGAGGACCTGAAGACGTGTTGGGTGGGTTTTTTTGCGGAAGACTTTTTTATTAGTAATATACGTACACACTTTTGATACGTTAAAATAAGTTAACCCGCTAACTGCATTTGTCTACTACAGTGGACGTTTATTTTATTATTATTGCAGTGGCAATATTTAGAACATTTTTTGACGATCCGCAGCACGAAACCTAAGACACTTTCGCTGCTGGCTGAGATTTCATTTCCCTTCCAAAGAAGTGGTTTACCTTTTTTTATCGGATGTAGCTTTGTTTTATGGAATAATGTTTGTTTTTAACGACATTTTCTTGCAAACAAGAACGCAACGTATTCGTCGCCAGCATTAAAAATGCTAAATAACATTCGAACATTAGAAAAACAGTGTACTGTGATTACTCCTTTACTATTTACCGTGAGCAAGTGTACATTGTTTATAAAAAAAAAAACATTTTAATACTTAAAATAGTCTTAAAATGACTCCTGGTTCTTGATTTTATGAAAAAGAAATTCTTGTAGACGATTCAAAAAAGATGTAGTGAGCGGGATAAAAGTAAGATAGTAACTGTATTAATCGAAATTTTTTGTCCATTCGTATAAAAATCTAGAGTCTAATTATACTACTTATAAACAGTAACTTTTATGAAATATGTGTGTAGAAACGTTTACATAAAATTTAGAATAACATTTACTAAAATTCAAAATCACTTTTTAAAGGCACTGCAGCCCCGTCCGGTCTGACGGCGGCCATTTTGTCGCCGTGGGAGAATTCCGCGCCGGATTGCGGCCTGTCGATCGTCTGGTCCCATTTGGAAACAGCCCGAAAGATGGCGGAGAATCTACCATTGTTTCGTAGAAATGCAGAAATCGTCCTGGAGGGTTCCAGGAGCGACGAACTGCTGTCCGACGCGTTTCGTACCGAATTTCACATAAAATTCCTATGGGGAAGTCGAGGCGCCACAGTGGCGCCGGAAGAGAGACACTTGAAGTTCACGCAGGTACTCGACGCGATGTACGACAAGTGTTCAACGAGCGAGATAACGGCCTAAACGACCAAAGGAGAAATTTATTTTATATAAAACCGCGATCAGGTAGGTAATACACAGTGTGGCCATGAAAGAAATGGAATATATTTGAAATTTTCTTAAATGATAATTTTATAACATATCGATCTTGAACTTTGTACCTACGCGATTCGTACTGGTACCTAATAGGTAGGTTAGTAGGTTCTTTAATAGAGTTTCCAATATATTGCATTTTTCTTTTGTCCACACTGTGTCAATTCTTTGCCGGATCGTTGTTGATTTTTAGAAGGACTTTTTTCGAGACTACGAAGGGACCCGAACGAATTTCCGTTTCGTTTCGCTTTACGTGTAAATTATGATTATGTAATTATGTAATTAAATAACTGTAATTAGTTGTAATTTTTACGATACGTATAAGTATATTTTATTTGGCGAGGTTCGATCGCGAACCTGTGTACTTTAGTCCGTGGATGTGTGTTCGATTTTGAATCGCGCGCGTTACGATCGGTTATTCTGCACAATTTTTCGCTGGAGAAGCGAAACACGTTCTCTTTTGTATCGAATCGTAGCTCGTAAAGTAATCCTGTGTGATCGTGACTTCTCTATCGAGACAAGAAACGATTTTTATACGTCGAAAAAGAATACGGAAACCGTGACAACGAAAAAAGAAAAATAATTTCAGCGACTCGAGTACGTTCGTCTTGATAGATTAATCGCGTTCACCGACGGGAAACAAACAATCAAAAGTGTAGCATTAAAAACGACCGGAAATGTAATCGAAAACGTAACAATAAAACGTGTCATATTTAGCAAAGTAATAATTACCGAGAATATCAAGATAGATTTCTCCATTGAATGACTCGCATTTACCGCCCCAGCGACAACCAGCGACAATATAATAATCAAACCAAGTTAAACTGTCGTGTATTTAACTCTAACCAGTCCTATATTCGGCCAATAATATGTTTTAAATGTTGTTCACGTTTGTTCACACTTAATATACGAGAATGAAAATCAATGTTGCGAATCCTTCTTCTCTCCCAATGATGTATCTATTACTTATGTATATGCGTCCTTCTATCTATGTATCCGAAAAATATGGTTAAACAGTGCATGTCATTCATATTTTGCAGAGAAAGACAATTCTTTATTAAAAGAAACAATAACGTTTACATCATGATCGTTACAAATAAGAAATTCAGCCTTGCAATGAAATAGTTACCTACCTCAATTTTCATTTCTCAATTAAGTATTACCCACGATTCTTTAAAACTTTCAATACGGCAAACTGACAATAACTCGGCCTAAGAAAGAGATCAGGTGGTGCGTAATTACGCACCTGTAACGGTCGACCTTTTGGAATTCCTCATCCCTACTCCCCATATGGAACCGCACAGCAGTCAAAAATTTGAAAATTGCAGTCTCTCGCGAATCGTCATGGTGGTTGGGTGCGCGTCTCATACTCTTCTCTCTTGTTACTAAACCTTTGTATGCTACCGGCATTTGACAAGCACCTCTATATTTATTATGCATATTGTTAATTTATGTATTTATTATTTACTTGTTTAATCTAATTTATTAATCTATTCGTCTAACTGAATTTTACTAACTATATGTGTATTGTATAATTTAAAATATTTTTCCAACCAGTTATTCCATCGAACGAAGACATCAATCAACGTCTAACAATAAGTACACCATCAAACCGTCTACCACTACGTTAAGTTACTGTAAGTGAGACTTATAATATATTTATAATTAGATATTAATTTTTCAAATCATCATTATTTGAAGGTTTTTTCAAATCATTATTATTTGAAGGTACGTATGCGTTATTCATTAAACTCAGCACTATCTCCACACCTATGACTGTCTTAATTTTATCAATAAAATAATAAAAAGCAAAAAACAATAACAAAACAAATTCAGAAACTTTTTAAGAAAGCGCGCGATATTTGCAAAATTGAGATATTGCCAAAATTATTGTAGCCCTATGGTGATGGAAATTAGAACTAATACTAGACTTTTACAGAAAGGGCGGGAAATTATAAAATAATGTGCAATGAAAAAGAAGTAATTGTTTTCCATAATTCATATATTTTGTGTGCTTTCATTAATTACTAATTTGAAACATATAGCTTTAATTAAAGGTACGATAAGAAGACAGTATACTTATAAGTAAGAAGACTGATGGACACGGTTTGCCATCGAGTATATACAACATTGAATGGTGTTGTTTCAGTTGCATTCAATCGTCGTTAGTCGTGTCGTGATCAGTCGTGATCACCGTGGTGGAAGTTAACCTTGCATTCGTGACAGGCAGTTTTCACTGTTTGTTGTATGCTAGAATTTTAGTTGAAACAAGAGTATTAAAAGGTGTATCAAAATGGAATGTCTGATTGGGATACAATTCAAAGACTTTGTGCTAGTCGCAGCCGATATGACTACAGCTCATTCTATTATGGTTATGAAAAATGGTGAGGAATTACTTTCATTACAACCTCCAAATTATTTCAACGAAAATATTTTTATAAGTTTTATTTCTACATAATGTAAATCTTAAGCGTATTAAACCGATGAAGTTTTACGCAGATTTAACATACAATATTGAAAGTAATGTTACAATATCCATAGTGATTGCAAGTCATTGTTACATCCTCCAATGACTATTATTTCAGATGAGCAAAAGATTCACAAAATCTCTAACAAACTCGTGATGGCAGCATCTGGAGAGTCTGGTGATACAACACAATTCTCAGAATATATAGGAAAAAATATACAACTGTATAAAATGCGAAATGGTTATGAATTATCACCAAAAGCTGCAGCTTGCTTCACTAGAAAAAATCTGGCTGATTATCTCAGGAGTAGAACACCATATTTTGTCAATTTATTGATGGCAGGCTATGATGATAATACAGGTCCTGAATTATATTTTATTGATTATTTGGCATCTTGTGTTAGAGTGCCTTACGCAGCACATGGCTATGGAGGATTCTTTTCTTTGTCTATTTTAGACAGATACCACAAATTAGGTAATAGAAACTCTTTATTAAACATTTTTGTATCTAATGTTCATACATAGCAAATCGTATCTGTTATTCTATATTATAGACTCAACAGAGGAAGAAGCATATGTATTAATGAAAAAGTGTGTTCGAGAAATTCATAAACGGTTGATAGTTAATCTTCCAAACTTTAAGGTACAGAAGGTATCTAAGGATGGCATAAAAGATCTGGAACCAATCACTGCAAAAAGCTTAGCAATAGAAGATGTTGCTAAAGCATAAAGTGTATGTTTTTATTCATTTAATTTGTAATAATATTATTTTCACTTCAAAGAATAAAAGCAATTACAGGAAACCTTTTCTACAGTTTTATCATCTATCAATGTAAGATGATTAATAGAGTATAGATTTTTATGGACTTATTTACAGAATTATTTCACCATACGTATTTTTCGACAATAATTTCTGCAATAAATGCAGAAAAATGAGTAAGACATGAATTTAAAAAGACGTAGTTTTATTCAATGTTTGAAAGGTTTTTACAAATCGTCATATTTTACAAAGTTCACTTCTTGGAAACCATTACGACAATTAATATGTAGTTACAATATAGAAAAATTGTACGTGTTTAACTGAATACTAAATCGAAAAATATTCTTTATTTCTTCAATTAAATTCAGCCTGATCTGAAACGGGTCGGTTCACACGAAAAATTATACGTAGTGTAGTTAGGAATTACGAGAAGTATCTATACTTTAACCCTTTCAATACTATTGTCTACTATAGTCGCCCGCCTCGAAGCGACCTCCGTGTATTCTGGGCGACTATAGTTGCTGCCCACGAAGTAACACGTGTACATTGGACAGTTCTTAATTGTAGAAGTAGATATAATATTAAATTTTATTGCGATTATATTTCTACTAAACGTTTGTTTTCTTATTGAAACATTATTTACAATGTAATATCTAAATGTACGGAAGCATTGCTAACTTTTGTATTGTTTCAAAAAAGTACATATCGTGTGATATAGTTCGTGGTAGATGTGACCGTATCGAAAGGATTAAAACACGTATCTATTGGAGGAAATGTTTAACCTACCTGTAAGTTTAATGCACAGAAAGTGCAGTCGATTACAATAGAGTAAACATTTTGTTTTTGTATCTTGCTACCGTTTTAAATACATTTAAGGTACATGTAATTCATTACATGGGAAGATTAAAATCGAAATTTACTGGAAAGACAATGTAATCCTAGCATTATTCGTGACAAAAGCAAATTTTTACACTAACGCAATAAGTAGTAATGCCAATTCTGTTTAGAAATTTTAAAAGTTCGATACACATGTTATGTCGTATCATATGGGCCGACGTAATACTTAAAGCGCTTCGTTAAAAAAATTCTTCGACAAGAAATAATTCCTATTTCCTATACCAATTCGATTGTTTGCACAACTTACATTCCCTGGTAATATTTCTATATATTAGTTTTGATAAATTTCTTATGTCTCCCGATGTTTCGAAAAACGAAATGGGAACACACTTTACCACGCATCATAATAAATTATCTCTGTTTCAATGTGTATCAGAATGTGTAATTGTACATCTTGAGCATAAGACATAAAGTATCGATCCTTTTCCCTATACACGATGTAGTTTTTTAATCGTAACAGCATAATAGCAATGCTGATGATTCTGATACACTGTTCATTTTGAATTCAAATATTATGATGCTTTCTTCATTTCTGCTTGCGTTTGTGCAGGTTTTTCAGTTTCTTTTAGACTTTTAGGATGATCCTCGTAACTGGAAAATAATTGGTGAATTATTAAAAATTAGGATGCTGCTTTTTAACTGCTTGCATATGACAGTTTATACTTTATGTAACAAGTATTCGAAGTATAAAATAATTCGTTGTGTGCAATAATGTGTCAATTAATGTGGGACTTTCTGAGAGTCAATTAGTCGCGTTTTGCAAAGTATGACAGTAATTTGAAACCAGGAAATGCATAAATTTAATCAATACTTACGAAAACAACGCTTGAAAATCTCCTTTGACTGCCGCCAAAAGTAGAGGAGTGCCCAAACAAGCGGGCACCAAATACACCAGCGCCGGCTGTGCGTGGTTGAACAAATGCATAATCAGCATTGTAGCCAGAAGTCCCATAAAATACGCGAAAAACGTTGAGTAGAAATACACGTTCGTTTTTCTACTTAAGCTATTATCGAAACGCAATAACAGCGCGATAAAGATGCCAGGCAAAACAATGTCACCTAAGCCTAGCATGGCAAAGTTGCTGGCAGTAAGACCTTTCTCCAACAAGTCTTGTGGAAATACTAACTTAATCGGTACTTCAAACGCATTGGCAACTGTTACCATCACATCTGTACCAAATACCCAGAATGCATCATATAAGAGAAGTCCACAAAGCAAGATGCATCCTGTTATGACATTGTTCAGATGTAACAGTTCCACTCCATTGATTGCAAATGCAATACCAAACAAGTTATTGGCAATCCAATGCTGAAAATTAAAACAACAATGTTGTACTTCTTTAATCTTTAACTAAATTTCCTATACAGGACCTTAATTTATTGATTTACCTTTTTTAGAACATACCAAGCTCCAACAAAAGAGCAACAAACCAAGCAAACAATATCATGAAGATTAAACTTATAATCTATAATATTTTCTGCCTTGTCACCTTCACCCTGAGTGAATAGTATGTGATACTGAGTTTTTGGAATAGCAGCAGGTACTAATGACGATATTACTGGACTGTAAATGTTCATAATCATAATATAAATAGAATACATCATATTGAAAGCATTACAGAATAAGTTACTCATACCTGGTAAGATGACACAATGCAAGTATGCCTAAGAAGAAAAAATAAGTAACTAGCAGTAGTTTAACATATTCCTGTGGAAGTATCTGAAACATGTTTAATGAATAATATTAAGTTTCTGTTATAAGATAACATTATAATAGAAAGCATATAAGATTGTTACCTTATATACTAGATACAGCCCAACTAATATAAAGCTAGAAATGAATGGGAACATCATTGCTTCTTTACGTGTCATTGTTTCTGGCTGTTTCCCAGTTTCTTTGCATTGTTGCTGTAACATGTTAAAAGGTATGGTTTAGAATGTTTCATTCCAAATATTATTTGTAAAATATTTATAGTTTTTACTGCATTCAGTATTAATTACAAAGTTAAGAAATTTATTTAATAATGCGTGAAAGTTGTACAACAATGATCTCAACTATAGTACAGTGTAATAACGAGAATAGGACTTACAAGATTTTTTAGGCTTTTTATTCAAGATTCCTAAATCATACAAGGCTTACAGAAGAACAGACAGTCTCAAACTGACTTCAACTTCCATATTCTTGATTTGTTTAGAGCATTTATCGGACAACGTTTTGTCATTGTTCGACAAAGCAGAAAAACAATTTTCTCAGAGAATACGTGGAAAACATGTCAAAACGCGTGGCTTACCTGCTGCTCCTTATGGTGTTTAACAGCTCTGTAACTGCCAAAGAAAATCGGCACAATAGCCATAACAATTAAGCTACCATAAGCAATGGCCATTCCCTCAGGTGTCGAGGGTACTCTTTTTGTCACCGAGCCAGTGCTTTCCGTCACATTTTCAGTGATTTGGGCAGCGATTTCGCTTAACTCGCTTGCCATCTTGAATCTGTCGACACGACTGCATGCAATCCGCGTAAACGACACGACTCCAAAAGGAAATCTTCGAAACAATAGATTCAAGATGGATAAATCTGTGCTACACTTGACAGTGTTTCATAACTGTAACTGGATTTACTGAAAACGTAACCAGCACTGATTGATCTGTTTATCAAGAAGCGTAACGCTACATTTTCTACATTAATCAGTCACATTCAGTAATTTTTTCTGTTCTCTCTGCAGTTCTTTATGCAAATTTACATTTTAATGGATTAATTACACTATTAAGTTAATTATATATGGCAGAAGAGTTCTTTATGGAAACTCGCCTTAACGTTTAAATGCTACGTTACATTACCCAGTCGGTGATAATAGCGTCAATGAAAATTTCGGCGACAAACGTATGAAACATTTATGAAACTTTGAAGATCCTACGGAAGATTTGCAAGTTACAGAAGAGGGAATTAATTGCGACGGATAAATTACAATATTTAATAAGCCTGAATAACACCAGAGCGTATCTCTACTGAATCTATACAAATATAATTATAAATATAATGTAAAATCATGTATGTAGGTAGTACTTAAGGCAATTGTTGTTAAATTTATAGAAATATTATTGTAAATTGTATACTTTCGTACGATTTTTTCAATAAAAAACAGTCAAATCAAACATATGCGTTATTCATTAATCCCGGCACTATCTCCACTCCTATTCCTGAGGTTTCTTTAAGTTTTGGAAGAAGTTCTGGAATTAGTTCCACTTTTCGCCACGAACTGATGGGGGCGCCACAAATGTACAAGTTTTTCTGCCATCTTAAATTTTAAAAACCGGTGCAGTCTTCAAAACTTCATAAAGGTTTCATAAGTTTGTCGCCGAAATTTTGATTACCGGTGGTATATACGATAGACGTGTGTAATAATTTGCAGTAGTCTGTTGCCGGATTCGATCTGTTGTTATTACATGTGGATTACGGGACAATGAACGGTACTGAAATGGCTTGCGTCAGTAACCATTTGAAACGGGATCCTTTATCGCTGTTGCTCGTACAACTCGCGAGCTCGGTCGAATGTTGCTCGTGCAACTGTCGAATTGGGACTGACGCTTGTGCGTGTTCCCGTGAAGAAATTAGATAATAACCCCAGCACCCATGGCAGTTTCTGCAGATACTACTACAGCCCAAGTTTAAAAGACGTAGGCAGTAGTTAGTTTCTGTAGAAACCTGTTGAACCAGACAACTATAATTAGTATAAGATTGTACATTGTTTATGCAGTTATATTTAAGACAATTCGATGAAATGAAGCTTATATTAACTGACGCATGTTTATAGGAATATACATATGTATACATATAAATTATAATGATATAAAAGTTTGAAATGCAATACGATGCGCCACGGTACAATACGTTTATTCGATTCAATTGCTCCCTTGCGACTACAAGATCATGCTATCTGCATTCGGCGCAGTGCGCTAATACGGAGGCCAACGATATATCACTGTAACACTTAAAAAAGTTTTAAAGTTCCATTTATATCATTGTCCTGTGAAAATATTCATACTTCCAGTAGCATTAATATTCCAATCAATGAATTTACAGAGTAAGGAAAAGGAATCTAAAGTAATTTTCAGTAGTTCCATACATCTTTATCTCGAATAATTTTCTAAAACATTCAAAGTACTAGACATTTTTACACTTTGAATCTCATATCGATTTCTAAAATAATCCTAATTCGATGTAATATAGAACGTAGTTTCATGAGATATATTCGAAGTTCGCAGCCATTGGCTCGATATTGTCTTCAGTTTACAGTATTTTACCGATGACAATACCGATTGCCCAGGCCTCACCACGAGGAGGTTGCTGCGAGTGGAGGCCCAAGGCAAGTAGATGGAATCACAAGTTC